TGTAGGTAATGGATCTATCTGTACTTACTTTAGAATATGAACAGATAATTATAAGCTGAACATTTTAGTTTTAATCCTGGATATGACTACTTTGCATTTTTTAACATAAATTTTAATAGGCAACATTAAAAATATTTTGATATGAAAAAAACTACTCTTTATCTAAAATTTTAAGAGAAAACTGACTGAAATCTATAGATTAAATGGATATCATGAAGTCTTGGAAGATATGTTAAAATTTACAAATATAATCACAAAAATTTATGCTAATCTACGTTTATAATTAATACATCACATCACATCAGACCATACTAATTTACCCTCTTTTTATATCCAGTGAGGTATGTACAAGCCATTATAAAAATAAAATATTGTTAGTTTGATTTATCTTGATAATAGCAAAGCAGTCGAGTGTTATCCACCTGAGGGGAGGAAGGCCGTGGAGGTCTTTCTAAGGGAAACTGACTCGTATATATCACACATAGTGAAATATCTATCAAAAACGACTGTCTGCTGGATCAAACCACGGACTGAACTACCAGCATACTTGCCAACCTATGACACTCAAAAATCAGGAGATTTTTCACAATGTTAAAAAGACTTTTTATATGATAAAAATATAGTTTTTAATAATGAAGTAACTTTAAGTAGTTACTAAGTTTTAAATGCAAGCAGCACAAAAATACCTTAGACATAAAAAACATTTTTATCACTTGCATCGTAAAAAAAAAAAAAAAAAAAAAAAAAGTCACCTTAATGAGTTTTCATACAAATGTTATGAACAGTGGCAGATTTTGCTTTCGTTAAGAAAGAAACTTCATACTTTTGTTCATAGCAGTTGCCACGTAGGCCTGCTTTCACTAATAAAAGTTTTTCTAATGCGTCATCACTAATATTAGATCTAAATTTAGTCCTCGTTTTCGCAACAACACTGAAAATCCTCTCACACTCCGCATAACTATGGGGAACTGTCAAGATGGCCAACATAATTCTAGACAGTTCACTATATTTTAAAATTCCATCAGCACCTTTCAGTTTTCCAATTAAACTCCACTGAGTGTCAATCCTAACTCATTTTATAACTTCATCCAAGTTTTCTAATTGTAAACTGCAAAATTGCGACTGCAGTATATCAGTAGCAACATCAATATCATTTGAATAAATGAAGTAACACAGGAAATCTGTTCAAAAAGTACCTTATATTAGAAAAAGATGCATTTGCTAGAGCAGAAACATCACAACTTTAGCATGCAAAATCACTTCATCGTTGACTGGAAATTTATGTAGTATGTAATCACATACTCGACAGAAGTAACTTCTAACATGAAGATAAAACTTATTTTTGTCGTCTTCTGAAAGTTCTTCCACTACTTTTTTAGTTGCAGCTCCTATTACCAAATCTTCATGTTTCTTTTGATTTTCTATTTCACCATAAATCACATCATATATAGAATTACAAGTCAAAATACAGACTGGTTTTACAAACTTTGATAAAATGTATTTAAACAGATCATAAATCATTGATTGCAAAACATGAATTAATGGAATTCTGCTTTGTAGAATTGTGTTAAGAACATTGAATGATGGCAAAATGAATTGTAAAAAAAAGCAAAAAGCTTTGTTAAGGTCCAAAGAAAAAAACATAAATACTCGTTCTTCACGAGATAAACATACAGTAATCTGAAAATGTTTCGTGTGTAGAGCAATTTTTTTTATTTTGAGAGAAATTTGTATCAGCTTTACGCTTATATTTTGCAGTATTATTTTGAGAACTGCCAGTTGAATTCCTGAATGATGCAGAAATTACTTTATTTTTCTCAAACCTATTTTTAACAATGGAAGTAGTAACTACATCTCCATTTACTTTAGGTACTTTATAACTTTCAATAGAACCTTTTATCTTAACTCTCGAAGCATTTACTTCTTTAAAAAACGTAAGAAGTGGGTTCCACTGATCGAAGATTCTAGATAAGCATTTCTTTAAAGACAGCCAGCGTGTATACACGTTTCAAAATTTTTCTCATTTCAGTATTATGCAGCTGTTGGAACTATTTCAATTTTTCCTTTCTTTTAAACTCCTTTCAAGATAATAATAAATATCAACAATGTGTTCATCCACATTTATTGGTAAAGAAGCTGCCCCCTTTTTAGCTGCTAAATTTAAGAGGTAACAGGTGCACCTCATAATCTGCAAATCTGAATTTGCCTTTTTTAAGATGCCTGCCACACCAGTCTTCAAGCCTACCATTACTGGTGCATTATCGGCACCAAGTGATAAGCAATTATCCAGAGGGACTGCATTTTCTTTTAAAGTTTTAATAATTAGCTGTGCTATATTAAAGCCTGTCGAATGTCCTTTCTAAAGTAGGGACAGAAAGTAAACTGCACTCAATTTCTGAAGACCCTGGATTAAAAAACGAAACAACAATTGGATACAGTTTTGAATTGGTATTATTGCTTCCATCCATAGAGAGGCAGAACAGAGCTGTTTTAATGCAATCAATAACTGAAGATTTATTTTTCAAACCCATTTTTTGCTCCAGTAAAACGGAAGAGAACAGACATTCTGCATTAATCACTTTTTGGTCTTTTGTTTCTGAAGTAAAATTTAATTTTTCGTTTTTTTCAAAACAACTCATGTTGTCCTTCTGTTTTTGTGTATGCACATGTTTGAGAACATCTGCCCTTCCAACATGCGAAATCGAGAAATCGCAACGACAAATGGTACACATCGCAAATTTATTACATTTCCTTGAGGAAATAATGGAAGGAAAGTCAACTGTGTACGATTTTTGAAACGTGCACGAGTATTTCACCTTTCTCGCAGACGTAACAAAAGATGATAATTTCTAAAACTATTTCCCAAAGGCACGTGTACTCGCACAACTCAGGACAAGATGAACGAAAGAGCATCCAAATAACGGCCAATGGCCTTGAGCTTGCTTTGTGCTTATTGGCTAATATATGGCAGACGACACGCAGCGGAGCTCGATGCCATTGGAGAACTGGAGAACGACATTTCTGGATACGTATGCTGTCACTCACAAAGCAGAAATTCTCATCTGATTCGCAAGGTTTTATTTTAGATATAATCTAGAGAAAATTCAGTTGCTTTCAGGCATCCAAAATCACTTTTTTTTTGTTTTTGTTTATATAACAATGTATTAAGTTCCATAAAAATCGTGAGAAGTATTAAGAATAAGAAAAAGTCGGAAGAAATATATTGTAAATCGGGTTGGCAGGAGAGCGGTCGAAAATCGGGAGTCTCCCGCCTAAATTGGGAGAGTTGGCAACTCTGTACCAGTGTTAGCGACTTTACCCCTGTGGCCAGGTTATTGTTATTTTAAATAAAAATAGGATTTTCTTAACTAAGCCTAAAGCATAAATTTTTTTTATTAAAAGATAAAGCATAACTGATGCATCAGAGGTTCCTTAGATGAAAAATCATAATTCATTTAAAAGAAATGTACATCATTTGCATCTCGCATCTTTTTGAAGCAAAATGTTTTCAGAAACAATATATTTAGACCAGATGGATGTTATTCCCTAAACCACACACATTTTACTGCCAAGAATAAACTTTGCTCTGACTTTCACTACCTACCCTCCCTAAGAAAAATGCTGCCATAATTGTTAATCCTAACAAATTCTTGTTAAATTAAAAAAAAAAAAAAAAAAAAAAAGTTAACAAATACTTAAAAATATTAATCCTCTGAATTCCTTTTAAATTTGTATAAACAGAAATAATGCTTCCTCCATACCATAATTAATAGGATTTCAATAATTTCAATATAATTTTCAATAATAAATTAATTTTTATTTTCTCTATTTAAAAGATATAATTTAATTAATAATTAAATAATTAGCAATACATTAATTTTAATACAATTTTCAATAATAAATTTTTTCTCATTAACAGATAAAAGATAAAGCATAACTGATGCATCAGAGGTTCCTTAGATGAAAAATCACAATAATTCATTTAAAAGAAATATACATCATTTGCATCAGATCTTTTTGAAGCAAAATGTTTCCAAAAACAATACACTTTAGACCAGATCGATGTTATTCCCTAAACCATGCACAAATTTATTGCAAATGTTGCTTTGACTTTCACTACCTACCCTCCCCTGAGAAAAATTCTGCCATAATTGTTAATCCTCACAAATCCTTCTATTAAAATTAAAAAAAAAAATACAATTAGCATATTATTACACTCAAAAATATTAATCCTCTGAATCCTTTTAAAGTTTTACACAGAGAAATAATGTTTCATCCATACCAGAATTAAACAAGATTTCAATAACAAATTAGTTTGGCAATAAAATTACATCTAAACTACTCTTGCTAAGGAGAAAAATAAGAATAAACACTCCTTTTGACACTTTCAACAGTCTCAAAATTTACCCTTTCTTTATATCTAGTGATACATGCAGAAGTCATCTTTTTTTTTAAATATACAATTGTTTAAAATAAAAAAATGATTTTTTTTATTAAAAGATAAAGCATTCCTGATGCATCAGAGGTTCCTTAGATAAAAAAATCATAATTCATTTAAAAAAATGTACATCATTTGCATCAGATCTTTATTATGCATTTTTCTCTGCCTGGTCCTGAAAATATTTCGGTATGTTAAATATTTAATACTTCTATTTTAACTTTTTCTGCATTAAACTGTTTCAGATTACTGCATGTCACAAATTATTCCAGAATGTATGAATAGTATTTGGAATGATTTTCAAATTAAAAAAATTTTAATAAAAACTTTTCTTTCATTGAATTTTCATATTCCCATCAACACTAAAATTGTAACTAAGACCAAAGATTTGTCTGACTCAGTAACATTAAAATATATATTTCCTCAAAACGTAAAGTCAGATTTATATTTAGAATATTTGGTTTAGTTTCTTCTATTGACTTGCTATGTGTAGTCAAGTCATTTATTAAAAGCATCATTAAACATTTTGTAATAAATAAGCAGAAAATGAGTCTACATATACCTTATAGTAACTTTTACTAGGAATGATTTCATGCAGCAGGTTCTTAATTGTCAACACATTATTTTTCTTGTCTAGCCCAAGAGCTTGAAGTTCAAATGATCTAAAAATTTTTTTTCATAATCAGATTTAACACTTATACACTTTATGTATCAAGAATGAAAAACATATACTTTAATTCACAGCCAAAAAAATGACACTTAAGAATGTAAATATAGAAGGTATAGAATTACAAGAGATTTTTCTGTTACTGGTAACGTACATATGTAGGTCGACAGTAGTATAACCTTCAATATAAAATAAATGCGAAAATTTAGTGCAGTAAAAATATAAAAAGGAAAGAAATAGATAAAAAAACAGATGAAAAGATCCATATCATGTGAGGTAGAACACAACATATCATCAACCATTACCAATCACATTTCTAAGTATACACAATTTAAACCTTATTTAATTTGGTATAATTAGAAAGATAGTTTTTCAATTAATAAATGTCAAAATAGATTAAACACTGTGCACCCCACTCCTATGTTACTTTTCATACATGAAAAATATAGAAAGCTGAACAAAAGTAGAAATTATACGTGAAAAGTTATAGCCGAAAGTATAGCTATAAATAATTATATGTTTGCGAATTGACTCCCACTCCTCCCAATGAAAAAGCTGAAGTAACAAAAACTGCAAGGATATCTCACTAAATTGGTGAGATATCATCAAGCTGGCAATGGTTTCAACAACAATTTTTATTATCCAACTTGGCAGCCATTTGGAACTGGTCCATGTATAACTGTAACCACATCCAGCCCTCATATGTAACTTTAACAGTATATACTTCCCTGTAATTTCTAGAAAGAATTTCTGTTTTAGTGAATAATACCAAGTTAATGACGTAGTCTGGCAATGCATCAAATAAAATGAAATTTAAAAAGAGGGAGAGAAAATCTTCCAAAAAAATCTTTTTGAAGAAATATTGATAGAAAAATAAATAAAATTAACTGAAAATGTTAGAATGCAAACAATAATTAAAATAACATAACCAAAACATTGAAATTCTATTCCAGATGTGTTAGAATAATAAAAGTTAAATAAGTGCTCACTTCTAAGACAATTCATTAACAGACATTAGTATAATCTTTATTATTAAATAAAGAAGAATCTGTATGTATGCGTGCACCTATGCACATTCCTCACATTGTGAAAAAAATGGCAATACTGAAAGCTATTAAATTTTTAGTATGTGTAGTCATCAATCCAAAGCCTCACATTCATACTCAAAGCCTAAATTTTGAGTTTTTTTTTTAATTTCAGTTAAATTTAATGAATTTTTCATTAGCAAACTCAGCAATTTAAAAGCAATGTAACGCCACAGCCCAAAATAAAACACTTTAATCTTTGGCGCATTAGTATGCTGCCATTCCGCAATGTAAGATTTTTATCTTTAAAATTTAATTAACAAACTTAGCTCTAAAATATAATGTGTTGCTACTTCCAGAAATAAAATACCCATCTTTTCCATGTGTCAATCATAAGATATTTAACTTTCAAACTTACTTATATGCTACTGATTGACAAATCAAAGAGTATGAAAACAATAAATGCAGTTTTCGATATTTAAAAAAAATCAATCTAATATAAATAAAAAGCATTCAATGCATGATATATCTTATTAAAATGATTAAATATTTTTATCAATATACACCCTCACTAAACTCACTACACATATTTTAAAAAAGAGGCAAATTTTAGGCAAATAGGCTTAGAAGAAGGTTTAAATGATTCTATAGAATTGGTCTAAAAATCAGTTGATAGGCTATAAACAAAATTGCAAATAATTATTTACACTGTATGTAATAAACAGCATGATTGCAAAGTTCCTGAATTATGAATTAAAAAAGTATACAAGCTTACCTGCAAATGTTTTCAAACAGATACAATCAGCACAACAAAAAAATTTTAAGATTTATGTTTTATGTACACTGCGAAAAAAAGGGACAGTTCTGTATCTCTTGTTCTACTGGGCCCGACTGACAAAATTCAACTTAAATTTTTCATGTTTCAAAAGTGCAACTTAGGATATGTATTAGATACTTCAAAAGTGCAGCTTAGGATATGTATAATATGCATTAGATACAACTTAGGATATGTATTATACATTGTTTTAATATAGGGATTTTGACAAAAATCGGACTTATCTGAAATGACATGGGAATTTTTTTCCACATTTCGATTCTACGACTCAAATTATGCCAAGTTTTGTAAAAATCACAAGAAGAGTTTTTAAATGATCAGCTCTCAAAATTTTAGTTTCTCAATGTTAATTGAATTTGGTTATGTATTTAATTAAATAATCTCTTTTTTTTTTTTTTTTTTTTTTTTTTGGTTAGACTTACTTGATTCCTTCTTCCAGAATTTGAAATTTAGAATTCCTTCTTCCAAATATAATTTGCACGTTTTTTACAATTTATTTTTAAAACTTTTAATATTTTTTATAAATTGTTTGAAAACATTTTGAATTGTAACCTATGAAATTTTTAGCATCACCTTAAAGTAGGTGTATCTGTAAAAAGTTAGTTTTTTTATTCAAAATCTCACAAGATATACGTGACTTTACATTTTGACGCGTTCTGAAATTTGCCATATTCAATAAGCGGTTGCCATATTTAATAAGATAATAACGAAAATGCGGTTTAAGCCACTTTGTTAAAATTATTTGAAAGAATGAACGATAAACCTTTTTTCCCTCTTGTGCATCAATGAAAAAAAAGGGAAAAATAAGCAAGTTACTATAAATTAAGAAATCCGCCAAGTGAATCATTCCTGGCGCAAACTGAAAAAAAAAAATGCAGCAATATAAATTTTTTAATTTCTGACCGAAAATTAAAAAATTTAATATTTAGGCATAATTAGAGTTGTAGAATCGAACTATGGAAAAAAAAATTGATATGTTAATTCGGAAAAGTCCAATTTTGTGTCAAAATATGTACATTAGAATAATGCTATATATAAATCTAATATATATCCGAAGTCATGCTTTCGAGACATGAAAAACACAATTTGAATTTCGTCAATCAGTTCAGTAGAACGGGAGATATAGAACTGTTCCATTTCTTTCTTTCTTTTTTACACAGTGTACATTTACACTGCATGGAATATCATGACAAGACTATCAGAAAAGGAAAACCTAATTGTAGCATGTACACCTTGCATACATACACACAAAAAAAAAGGGGAGACAGTTCAATATCTCCCGTTCTACTGGACCCATTATTGAAATTTAACTTCCGTTTTCCATGTCTTGAAAGCATGATTTAGGAAATAGATGTATATAATAATATTGTTCTAACACAGGTATTTCTGCACAAAATCAGACTTTTTCTGAAATAACATACCAACTTTTTGCCATATTTTGATTCTCTGATTCGGGCCAAAGTGCCAAGTTGTGTAAAAATCACAAAAATAGTTTTTAAAAAATTAACTCCTCCATGTTAATTGAAATTGGTATATTTAATTCACCATTTTTAAAAATTTGCTTTGTTAAATAATTTTTTCGAAAAAGACTTAATTATAACCAATTAAACATACGTGAATTTACATATTGGCGTGTTTTGAAATTTAGCATTATTGTTATAAGCAATAAAAACGTCAAAAGTGCTTTACACACTTTGTTAAAACTATTTGAAGGTATAAACGATGGCTTTTTTCAGTGATTGTGTACAGTAAAAAGAAGGAAAGAAAAATATGTTGCTATAAATTAAGAAGTTTGGCAAGTAAATTATTCTTGGCGCATAATGCACCAAATAAATTTTTTAATTTCTGAAACATTATAAAATTTAATATCTAGGCATAATTTGAGTCGTACAATCGAATTACGGGAAAAAATTAAAATGTTATTATGAAAAAAGTTCGATTTTGTGCCAAAATACTTATGTTAGAACAATGTTACATATACAGTGGCTCTCCAAAGTATTAATTTGAGTCGTACAATCGAATTATGGGAAAAAATTAAATGTTATTATGGAAAAAGTTTGATTTTGTGCCAAAATACTTATGTCAGAACAATGTTACATATACGGCTCTCCAAAGTATTTGTATACTTATGATTTTCATTGAAATAGGGCTATATTCATTAATTAAAAGTAAACTTTCTGAATGAGATTTTAACAATAAGATCTATAATCTGTTCATATAACAAAATTACATGAAATATTTTTAAAATATAGCGAAACTTTATTTTAAAGAAATTAATAATCAAAAAATGACAAACATTTTATCTCACAAAAGTCTTTGTACACTTCAAAAAAATCGACATATTAGTAAATATTTTAATTTTTCGTTAAATTAATATTAGTAGGATATCCGTTAGCATCCACAACAGCTTTTAAACATCTGGGAATAGATTTTACTAATTTTTTGTTTGTTTGTTTTTGTTATTTCTGTATTAATGCTCATCCATTCTTCCATCATGGATGCTTTGAGATCGCTTTTCATTTTGATGTTGTGTTTTCGTACTCTAACCTCCAGCTCTTTTCAAATGTGTTCTATGGGGTTTAAATCTGGCGACTGAAGTGGTGTTTTCAAAACCTGTGGACAATTATAGTGAAAGCAGCAATAGTAAAGAGCATTTAACATACAAGAATTTTAATTAATTGTTTAAAAAAAAGAAACAAAGGAATAGTCCAATTTTGAAGTGGAAATTGACTCGGATAAAAAAACGAAGAGGATACTTTCTGAGAGGTATTGAAAAACTTTGCACCCTCACAGAATGTTTAAAGAGTTGTGTCAGACACTGTTTCAAGCAAGAACTACCATTCAGGGAAGAAACAAAAGGGTTGGTGTATTTAATTATGGCAAAGCACACTAGGGCTATCTGCCTAAGGGGAGGGATTCCTTCGTGGAGGATTTTCTAAGGGAAACTGGCTCATATACACGTTACACATGGGGAAAACCACGAAAACGCCCATGCAGCCAGCCCGTTCGTGGGATTCGAACCTCAGACCGAATTACCAGTGTTCAGCAACTTTACCGCTCAGCCGCTGGTGGGCCGGAGGAAAAAAAGGGGGGGAGGAGGAGGGACAATTACATCATGTACCTACTTATTCAGTAACAGAAATCCTTTCAATTAACATTTAGTTCGCTTTCCCCTTTTAGTTACTATAATATTTAGGTTTATATGTAAATTACAAATACTTTCTTAATTTGAACAAAACATTACATGTTTTCCCATACAAAGTTAACATTGCTGAATTTGATTTTGTTGTACGCACAGCATGTTAATGATATAAACCTCACATTTGGCAAAGGTTAACTGCATTTACATTGGAATACCTTTTCTTAAAGCAAATACAAATTCAGCATATAAACAATCAGTTAAGAAATACTCTTGTAATAAATCTCAACAATACTTTACAATTTCAATGTGTTCTGTATGAAATGTTAATTTTTTTTTTTTTTTTTACTTTTCTGCTGAGAAATCGACATTATGTGCACAAGTATACCGCTTTAATTCTTTGATCCAGACATGTTTATCATACAAGATTTTGAGGTACTACTCTTATATATGCCCTCATATGCATGGCATCCTCAAATGTGGTGATATATGTTCTGTGCTGGTATTTGGCATGATGTTATTTGTATGGAAATTCTTTTTGAGGTTGAAACTTGATTTTGATGGAATGGTTTTATTTGCTGGGCATTTCGATGAAAGACGTGGTGGCAAAATTTTAGTCACGTATTTTGGATTGTGTGCAAGGTAAATTTAGTATTAAAAGGTACGGGCAAAATTTTATTCATGAATGTATGCTGGACTTTGTGTGCTCTGTGTCTCAGAAGACAGGGGAAATGATAAAGTGGTGGTGTGTGTGTGTGATTATGGCAAAGCCTCGAGGGCTATCTGCCTAAGAGGAGGGATGCCTTTGTGGAGGACTTTCTAAGGGAAACTGGCTCATATATACGTTACACATGGAGAAAACCACAAAAACGCCTATGCAGCCAGCCCGTTCGCGGGATTCGAACCTCGGACCGAACTACCAGTATTCAGTGACTTTGGATAAAGTGTTGGCAATTGATGAGTTTTTGGCACAAGTGCTTTCAAAGATTCAAACATTACCATCTTCTTCAGCTGCAACTAAATGAAAGACAAAAATTTAAATTTTCTAATGCAGAGAAATTTTTATACTCAAAGAAGGCCTAATTCACCAATGAGAAAGCTTCTTAGATAACTTTTGGCAAGAGAAAAATGAATTTTTGATTTGCAGCTTAACAGTGCTGAACAATGAATTATTCCTTTTTTCCTATTTTGTTTTAAACCTAAGATTCATGTTCATTGACACAATATTTTAAAACTTATTTTTATTATATTAGCAAACTGCATTGACATGGAATGCTGCCAATTTCTCAAGAATGTGAGAGGAACAAGGACTTTAAGGAGAGAACCACAGATTTTATCGATACGAAAAATATACAAGTTGATCTGTAAAATGAACATCATTCTGTAACTGACTGTACGAAAGAAAAGAATGACAAGTAATTATTAATGATCAGTGCATACTCTTTTCGTCCTTCATTAAAACTAAAGTTTTAAAGTTTTTTTATTACTATTTCAGGCTACACTTTGTTGTTACACTTTATGTCTGGTGATGCTATTGTGCTGCTAATACAAAAGTTACAAATTTTTTAACATTATTGAGTTAAACATAGGTTTAGATCAACTCTGAAAGCAAAAAATTACGAACATACATCCGCAGTATATTAAAATAACAAATTACAGCCTAATATTTAATTAATAGTCAAATAATATAACTTACTTGGGACCAAATTCTACAGTAACATTTTCTTTTGGAAAATTATGTACACCATTTAAGGTAACATATATTTTAAGAAATTTGTCTGACTGATCCCAAGCTGGAAAAGAAAACAAACATATGTAAGTAACATTTTACATCTTATACACTCTTAGGTTAACATACATTTAAAAACTTTTCAATAAATGTACACTGGAAAATACAGATAAACCAGTGACAAATTTATGATATACTGCTTAGCTAACCTGAATCTTTGGGTTTTAACCACTTGCGCTACAACTAAACTTCATGGTTGCGGTGCTATGCGCTTCAATATACTATAATTCTACGCCGTTTTCCAACATGACAAATAATTTTCTCGCAGTCATCATCTGTATCAGTATTGGATGTACTAACTAATCGCTTTCTCCTTGCACTTGTGAAGGCTATATAACTGAGTTCACTATTATTCTCCATTTTACAATATGGGGTGATATGATAAAAAAAAAATATAAATCTATTACTATGCGACGGCCTTCATTCGAGAGGTGTAACTCGAGAAATAAACAATCTCGTTGTTAGGCAGCGTGTGCACTACGTTAGTTTCATTTTTGCGATAAATGCCTATCAACGTGGTGTTAACGTCGCTCGTGGTTTGAGACAAAAGCATTTCGACATGCATGGCACGTCTTTTTAGCGCAAGTGATTAATCTTAAAACACATCATATGCTACAAGTCTAAAATTTATGAAGGTAACTTATAGTTGTGACTCATAATAATCATGTTGCTTACTATACATCTTCTAGTTTTTAAAACATTCTGTTTTCGGTGCTACTTTGGTAGACAGCTGCACGGATTTTACAATCGTCAGCCATCTTGAAAAACGCCGTTTTTACGTTATTTCTCACATAGTAAGGTATTTGAAACTTAAAAAAAAATAAATATCCTTAAAAACAATGGATTAATTTTTTGTCAAAAACTTTTTTTTTTTTAAGATGGCAGGCAAATTTAAAGAAATACATTTACTATGAGTATAAAATACTAAAGAAAGGTTAAATTATTACTTTCATATAGCACAGAAATAGAATAAAAATACCGCTATAAAAACATTGCGCCAAAATTTAATTGGATCAAAATATTACGTAAATTTAAAATGATTTTATTACGTACGATTATTTAAATAATTTTAATTCTAGGTGTGATGTTATCAGCTCTCTCTGATTGGTTACTGAAAATTTGTGCATTACAGTGCCATTTTAAAATTTAATTCATATCTTCAAATTCCTTCAAAAATGTCTCTTTCAAAGATGAATTTTGTTATTGGCAAGTACTAAGAATTATTGGTATCAGAATCAAAAAATTGACCTTTGAGACCCTTTTGGCCAGCCTGGCTTTCCTAATCAAAGATTTATTTATAAATTCTTACAAGGGTCAGAGGAAATTTATTTTAAATTTTTGGAGGAAACCTCACTAATTGCTTCTTCAACGAAATGCTAAAATATAGATCACAGATGAAGATCGTTAGAAAAGCCGATTCTGAGGACGGCCGTATATGGTATTGTGGTTATGTCGGAAAAAATAACCGCTGTAACGGTAAGAAAAGGTTTCGACATTCCTCCTTTTTTACTGACAATAAACTAACTGCTGTCATTTTAGCTCTAGTGTACAAAACGTTCTTATTTACTTATTTTAAACAGGGTTCGTAGCCACATTTTAGTTAAAAAGATAAGCACCTATAAGCACTTTTCAAGCACATTTTAAGGGGAAAAAAAGCACCTGTCTAATTAGATTATACACAGCTACATAACCTTAAAAGAAAAATTAGACTTGTAATTTAAAATATGAGCAATGCAATATTTATTAGGAGAATGAGCATTACCTCAACCATGGAAAACAATTAGCTTTTTTTTTTTTTTTTAAATTTTAAATGACAGTTCAATTTACAGAATTAGTTTACAATGAAGAAAAAAAAACTATGCAGAACTAAACAATATTACAAGATTTAATGATGAAATTTCAGTTCAAAATATAAAAAATAAATAATAATAAGCTATATTAATTGTATTCGTTTGGCACCTAATAATACATACAATTTATTTTTCCACTCATATTAATATTTAAATAATTTAATTTAAATCCAAATTCTGAACATTTTCTAAATTTTCATTGCATAACTGTTTTCACTTAACATATATTCCAAGCAAAGTAATTTAAGTAAAAAAGAGGCACATTTCTGAAATCAGAAGACTTGAAATTGCTTCATGCAGTCATCCTTTAACAGTAAAAGCTCAACTAACCCGCATACTCGGAAATTGCTGAATATTCTGGATAGTAACTGGAAAAAGAGGAGTGGGGGAGATTGTAGCCGTTCTTTAGATTTCTCGGCTAAATAAATGATTTTGACATTTCGATATGTGCATCATATAAAAATAGGCCAACGGAACTGAGAAATATTCTGCTTAGAAAGCACAGTAAAACTCTTTTAAGTGTTCATAAACAAATCTCGGACTGAACATCAAAATGAATTATCTCTGCAAAATACCGAAAACGTTATTGTGCAATACGTGCGGCATAATTCTTCCACATGTGATATTTCACAATCGGAATCAATAGCTGCCGGTATTCGGATAATAAAGAACTAAATAAAGGAAAAGAAAGAGATTTACTAATCTGGGGTGTTTCTGATTCTAATTTTCAACAGACTGCGTTAAATTTCCGGAATAGAATCAATCTTCACTTGGGTTGGGTAGACCGCAAAAACTTTTATTCCTATTCAATCCAAATTGGACAGTGACAAAAAAAAAGTCCGTTGCTTCAATAGTAGAGATTTTGCGGAGAAAGGGAAGAACCTCCCAACCTCCGTGCTGTATAATGTATTGACAAAAAAAAAAAAAAAAAAAAAAAAAAAAAAAAAATTTGACTATTCGATTTTTCTTTTATTTCCATTCTTTTATTCCGATTTAAGCCATTCCAAATATTATTCCTTAGAAAGCTAATCTGTCGGTATAAAAGCACACACATTTTTGGAAGTTTATCTATACTTCAGCAGTTACTGCAACTATTCATGCATATACTCATAATATAAGCATAACGATCATAATAAACACAAATATGAACTGACCACGCGGAACGATAATGTAAATTATTAAAATCTTGATAGAAATTTAAATGTGTGTAGTATTTGGGTGGGAGGAAAAGAAAACTTCTGGAATTTCCTACCGTTTTCGCAATTCTTTGACCAATAGAACGACGTGCACCTGTCTGTACTCTTGCACGGTTTATGTTAATGCAGAGAAAGGGAGAAAAAGCAATTTCTGGAAGTATGATTTACCATCTGATGTTGCATTTTTTCTATAAGGAAGAGAAGTTGCTTATTTAGTTTCGGCTTTGGTATGGGGAAAAAATGCGCGTTCATTAAAAAAAAAAAGCACTAAAAGCAAAAAATAAGCAATAAAAACAAAGAAATAAGGGCTTTAAAGAAAAAGTAAGCACCTATAAGGGACTTTATATTTTATTTTCAAATATAAGGACTTATAAGCACTCGTAAGGACCGCTACGAACCCTGTTAAAGTATTTAATTTAAGTAATATTTTAATTCTTTTAAACGTTGGTATGATGGTTCTTAATTTGAAGTGCTACTTTGGTAAACGGTTGCACAGATTTTTGGCGAATTACTTTGGCGCGGTTTTTTACAATCGTCAGCCGTCTTGAAAAACGCCGTTTTTACATTATTTTTCACACAGTAAAGTATTCGAAACTTAAAAAAAAATAAATATCCTTAAAAATAATAGATTAATTTTTTGTTGAAAACGTTGTTTTTTAAGATGGCAGGCAAATGCAAAGAAATACATTTACTGCGAGTATAAAATACTAAAGAAAGGTTAAATTATCACTTTCATATAGCACAGAAATTGAAAAAAATACCACTATAAGAACATTGTGCCAACACTTAACTGGATTAAAATATTACAAAATTGAATATCGAATTAAAAACCATCAATCATACCAACTTTAAAATACAGTCAAAAGTCGTTAACCCGGACTCGTCGGGACTTCGGCAGTTCTGGATTATCTATCTTTCCAGATTATAGATCATCAGTTTAAATCTGGTAAGATGGCATGCAGAAATTATAAAATTAAAAATACGAAACCGTAATTTATGAAATAAAGAACAATTATGATCTAAAGGGTATCAAAATTTACAAAAAAAAAAAAAAAAAAAAAGCTTAATATTTATTTGTTTACTTTATTAAACATTTCTTTCAATGTAAGTTGTTTAAGTTGCTTCCTTTTATGTGATAATACTTTCTCTTTAATTCTAATTTCTTCTTCAGTTACAAAGTTCCGCTGTTCAAGTCCTATAATTGCTGTGTCGAGAATACCGACTAATTTGTCAATCGAAATTTTTTCGTTTTCAATAACCTCTGTGTCACTTTTTTCACTATCGGAAGCGAATTATAATGACGAGGAATTTGATTTAAATCATATCAAAGACGAAGTACATCGAGATGAAATACTACATTTAGTAAGGAATTATAAGCCAAATAAAATAAAAACATCTGCCCTGAAGATGAGGATAGTGCTGACAGATCAACTTCCAATTCATTGCGTGCCGCGGCGATCCCCCTCCCCAGATCAACGTAAAATTGATAAACCGATTTCGGAATGGTTAGAGAAACGAAGGATATGCCTTTATCCATTTTTTTGCAGCAATTCCACTTTTTGTTTAATGAACTTTGAAACATACTTTCGCTTTGTAGGTCCTTTACATATTAGTAAATATATATCGGAAATTCTATTTCACATAATCAAAAGTTCAAGCTTACTTTTATAAAATTGCTTTAACAGTCTACAAAATATAATAAGCCGGATCCAATTCGAAGATTAAGGAACAACGCAATCTGCAACATTAACTGAATTAGATAATTTTAGCTTAGCTTATACCGTCCGTTATACATTAAACACGCATGTGCACACACATATTCACAGCCCTAAAGGTCTTACGCAGAAAGTTTGTAGCTTTGAGTTCTGGATTATAGATCATTCCGGATTATGGGTGTCCGAATTAACGACTTTTGACTGTACATTAAAATTTACCTTAAATACTTTAAAATAAGTAAA